TTGCCTCTTTTAATGGTTTTATAGGGAGACAGGAAGCTACAATGATGTTACCTCTTACACTTTTCCCAAGTGATTTGGAATTCTGCTATTTTGAGAAGAATAGTTCATATCTCCAGTTTGCCCAGTGCCTTCTTGAAACAATCCCACTCTCTCTTGGGGACTGTTACCTTCTTCTCTATCCATGGTGTGTTAGAGAGAGCCACCATGTTCATCCTTGACATTGCCTACCTCACCATAGGTGATTGGCTTAGAAGTGCACCGTTCATCCAATCCAAGAAAGCCCTGAGGTTTTCCTAACTGGAACTTAGGAAAGAGAGTAGGTTGGGGAGTCTTGGGTTTGGAAACTTGTCAGCTCTTGTCAGTTATGTTTTCTGTTACATGGTGTCAGCTGGTCTGCAGTTGATAAGATACATATGATGTGCAGAGAAAAGCAGATAAGAGATACAAAGAGTGCTTAATGGTGTTTGAGTTTCTGGTTCCAATTGCTTGAGAGGAACAGTTTAATTCCACATGGAATTTTAAATGTAACCTTTCTTTAGTTACTAGAAACATAAGCATGATTCCAAATAATTCCCCCCCCCCCTTTTTAGTATCCTGCTTCACATTGAGTTTCTGTCACTTGCAATTTTTAATAGTTCTAATTGATAAAAGGATCTGCTGTGATGCTGGACCCTTCTCTTTCTCTTGTATTCTTCTGTTGGCTTTTATAAACTACCGACTATTTTCATTCTTTTGAGTGTAACTTTCTCAGTTTATTTCCTCTCGACCTCTTACTAGTCTCACCTGCTAACCTTATTTCCTCCCTCCTTCCTTCGTCTCTCTCTTTCTTCACTACCCAGAGGCCTATTGTTCTTCCTTCCTAGTGATTAATTGACACCATTTCACACAAACAACCACCTTAAAGATGCTTTTTTATTGCATCCTGAAGGCTTTTTTCTTTTTTCTGTGATTCTTCCACAGCTATTGCTTGGGATTATGCTGAAGAGAAATTCTCAGAAAATAGAAGTAAATGTGTGTGTGTGTGTGTGTGTGTGTGTGTGTGTTTGTGTGTGATTACCTCTATTTTAACCTTCCTATATTTGAAGAAATTATATCAATATGATATATCATATTGAACTCCAATAACATATATTTTTATTTAAAAAAAAATCATTAAAGCTAGGTGTGATGTTATACTTCTGTAAATCCAGCCTCTTGGGAGGTTAAGGCAGAAGGATCACCAAGCAGGAGGATCTGAGGCCAGCCTGGCAACTCAGTGAGACCCTGTCTCAAAATAAAATTTTAAAAGTGCTGGGGATATAGCTTAGGGGTAGAGCTCTTGCCTAACATGCACAAGGCCCTGGGTTCAATCTCCAGTATAGGAAAACAAACAAACAAAAAACATTAAAATACTTGTTAGTAATTACATAAATTTGTCACATAAATTCTTACTTGTTTCTCATTTATTTTTTATTTTTTTATTAGTTGCTCATAACAATACAATGATCTTGACATATCATACATTTGAATCAAATGGGGTATAATTTCTCATTTTCCCAAGTGTACAGGTAATATTAAAAGACTTACCTAAGACAACTTTACCAAAAAAAAAAAAATTTCCCTTGGAGAGTTAGTTAGGAGATTTAAAGCTTAATTATCTTTGGAAAAAATGGGTGGATAAATAAATAACCAAATTAAGGGAGAGGTGAATGAGTATGTTTTTCAACTAATATGTAGCTATTGTAGACATCTCACTTCTGGGTATATACCCAAGGGAAATGAAATCAGCGTACCAGAGAAACACCTATATGTCTATGTTTATTACAGTACTATTCACAATAGCTAAGATATAGGATCAACCTTTCCATTAGTGGATGAAAGAAAATGTGGTATATACATACAATGGGGTATTACTCAACTATAAAAAATAATGAAGTCCTTTAAATTGCAGCAAAATGGATGCAACTGGGTGTTATGTTAAGTACAATAAACCAGACATTGAAAGACAAGTACTTCATGTTGTCTTTCATAGGTGGATGTAGACTATTGAGTACTAGAGGTTGGTGGGGCTGGTCAAAGGGAATCTGGATTGAATCAGTGCATGCTGTATGCCTATGATATATCATATTGAACTCTTAATATGCACAATTAATGCATGTTAATCAAAAGTAAAATACATTAGAATAAAAAGAGCAGGTATGAAGACCAAACCTGATTCAGTATCAACCTTCAGAGAATACCAGCCTTTCAAGTTTATCAGCAGACATATTTTCACTCTATGACCAAAGATGAATATTCAGTAGGCTCTCTGGGCTAAACCTGGAAATGGTATATTTGACAGTTTTAAATAGAGAAGAAAGCTATACTCCTGAATTTATCCCAGCTGATCAAGAAAAGGCAGATGCTCTGTACAAATATTATAGCAAGTTACAAAGACAACGAAGAAAAAGAAAGACTGAAAATACTGCTTTCTCAAAGAAAACATGTGGCTGAGGAGAGTCACAGATGAGGAATTTTTGGTCTAAAGGGAACTATAACCCTGTGACTTGAGCCCAAGTTGCCACACGGATGGCAAGTTTGGGGGAAAATCAGGCAGTTAAGGAGAAACTAAGGTAGTTTAAAAAGAATGATAACCCCCAGGATAGGAGGAAACTGGCACATCATGTAGATATAGTACCATGGAAATGTACATCAGAACTACATTTGCACACAGTGCTCTGGTCATATGTCTTATGCCTTCTGAATCAGAAGAACCCCTTGAAGAAATTCATACTAGGGAGAGTTTCTGAAGATTATGTAGACATAGGTGTATGAGAATGTTGATCCGAGTGCTTATAATTTTAATGACAAGAAAAACAAAACAAAACAAACCTCAATAAGAGCTGCCTGGTTAAATTACAGTACACCTGCAAAATGAATATTAAGCAATGATTGAAAGTGATATTGATTCACATTCATGAAACTGCATCCAATGTGTTCACATATACTTTTAAGTAAGAAGGCAGATTGTAAAGTAGTGGGTATGAAGTGGTGTTAAAGATGGTTAAAGATTTTAGTGCACATGTAAATAGGTATGTTTTTAAAATTCTGAAAGATTGTGTCAAACTACTGTTTGCAGTGGTTATACTTGGATCTCATGAAATAATAGACATTTAAAAATATGTTTATCTTGATTTTTTGTAAGAAATATAAGTTATCAGTATAGTAATAAAAATTAAACAAACTTTTAAAGGGAAGATGGGAACATTGACATCAATTCCTTTCTCCTTTCTCACATTTCATTCCAAGAGATCCTACTCCCAGTGGCCCTCAGTTTCTGGAAGAGTTCTATGCATCACCAGGACCCGGCCTGTCCCGCACATTCCCTCTGGGAACTGAAATACTGACAGGCTGAGCTGATGATGAATGCTTGAACTGAAAGGTTGTGCTGAGCAAGATTCAGAGTTGGGATTGTGATGAGATAAAGCACCTGCACCCAAAATACAGGACAGCAGAGAGCCCCTGATCAAGCTCAGCAAGTTAGCCTGTGGAGGAGCAGGGGCCATGGCAGGTTCCACAGGGGAGCAGAGTTGAGAGACCCAGAGGCCACTGAGGAATGAGAGGTACAGCCTTGCTAAGGACTCTTCCAGTTCCTGTCTTGATGTGGTCCAACTCTCTTTTATTTATGGCTTTTTAAAATTTTTAAATAAAAATTCCTTTTATCCTAGTGGATCGAAGTGAGTTGTTGTCCACAGAGGTAGCCCTGATAAAGACAGAGGTGTGTACCCCGAAACCAGCAGCAGACTGGGGCAGCGTAGTGGCCTCTGAATGAGTACCATCATTAATTTGCTGTTGCCCACAGCCTCTGTGGGAGGATTACCAGCATGTCAAGGGCTGTCTTAGTCTCTGCTGAATGCTATACCAAAGTACCCTAGACTAGGTCATTTATAAACCACAGAAATTTATTTCCAACAGTCTGGAGGATGGGAAATCCAAGATCAAGATGTAGGTAGATTTGGTGCCTGGTAAGGGCTTGCCCTCTGCTTCCAGGATGGTGCCTGGCCTTGCATTCTCACATGTTGAAAACAGAAAGGCAAGAGGGATGAAGTCACTCCCTTAAACTCTTTAATAAGGACACAAGTCCCATCCGTGAGAGTGGGACTAATTGCCTCAGTCTGGCTGGGCACAAATAACTGAGCGGCCAAAAAGCCTTGTAGGTTCAAACAGCAAGTCTTTATTCCCGAACTCTCACGGGCACTCTACACACACTTCCCAGAAACACACTGCCTCCACCGCGCTCCGCACGCCAATTCTCTCAGAACCCCGTGAGAACTCAACGGGAACTCCAAAGTAGCGGGTGCCCAAGGCAGCAGGATCCGCCCTAATCCCAGCAGGATCCGCCCTAACCCCAGAGCAGGGTCACCTTAAACCATTCCCTCTAGCAAAAATGCCAGGCATCATTCTGACTAAACTGTGGCTCTCAACAACTAATCACTTCCTATGGGACCCATCTCTTAATACTGTGCTATTGGAGAGGGAGTTTCAATATGAATTTTGGAGAGACCCAAACTTTCAGACTATAGGAGTCACCAAATTGGGCTTTTCCTTTTCTTTCTTTGGCCATGAAGGATATCAAACTGGTGATAGTAGTTCTCTTTCAAAAACCATTGAAAAAAAAAATGAGAAGTAAAATCTTGGCATATGATTCTTCAAAGGCAGATGTAATCCCAGACTCTTATCTACCCCCAAAATATAGTTTTATGGATTTCCTTAAAGACTTTTGAAGGTGAGGAATTTTATAGTGCAGCTCTCCTATTCAAATATTCTGAATTCTGTTGTGCAGAACTTAGCCTAATGTGTTTGACAGCCTTGGTGAAAAAAAAAAGCACTGTATAAATGTGTCATCAATATAATAATATAAATTGAATTAGAATGTTCATTGTGTTCTGCTGAGTTTCTCTCCTGAGCTGATGATGTCTGAAACGGCTCTTGTTAGAAGCTTTCTCATTATGAAGGACTCAGTGTTCTGTTCCAGCCCTCTGTCAAGTGCCACCTGTTTGGCACTTTCAATTCTTCTTATTTTTTTTTTAAGTCAAGTAGCCCATCATGTAAAAATTTCAAGCTTAAAATCGTGGCATTAGAAGTGAAGTGTGCGGCTTCTCCTGATTCAGTTTCTCTGATAGTAAGTTACAATTGCATTTTGAAGAGTAAAGAATGACAGTTTACCCACTTGATTGTTGACAAGGTCAAATGGTGGCTCAACAAATGAGGATGCTAGCATTTTCCCTAACAATCTTCTGTCTAATTTATATTTTATCATCATAAAGAAGTATGGGTTTGGAGCCTGGTCCTAAATCACTTGCCATTCAAGTAGACTAGATAAGTGTCTAAATAATGTATTGCAACCAATGGGCCTTCCCCCACTTCCTCCCCCCACCCTCTGCTCCCATCAATAGGTGTTATTTTTTAGAACAGTTTTGAAATTAAAGTCAAGTCAAATAGAGAGTACAGGGATTCCATATGCCTCTTCCTCACCTACCACACCAAATTTCCCCTGTTATTATCATCTTACATTAATATGATACATTCCTTACAATGAATGAATGAACATTGGTATATCATTATCAACTAAATACCACAATTTAATTAGTTTTTACCTAAATCCCTTATTCTGTTCCAGGATCCTATGCAGGATGCCACATTACATTTAACTGCCATGTCTCCCTAGGCCCTTCTTGGTTGTGTAAAACAAAAAATCAAAATGAGAAAGAACTCCAAAGAGCAGAGTCAGAGGCAAGATTCCTTTCTGTGTGACTTTTAAAGCAGTCATGTATTATTCTTTTTTTTTTTTTTTAAAGAGAGTGAGAGAAGAGAGAGAGAGAGAGAGAGAGAGAGAGAATTTTTAATATTTATTTCTTAGTTCTCGGCGGACACAACATCTTTGTTCGTATGTGGTGTTGAGGATCGAACCCGGGCCACACGCATGCCAGGCGAGTGCGCTACCGCTTGAGCCACATCCCCAGCCCATGTATTATTCTTTCTTCAGGCTGGCCCATCCCTGAACATTGTACTCTTTACAAAAGACTATTAAGAATCAAGGGATAAGAAAAACTCAAAATGTGTGGAAAAAACAACTTAATACCAATATATTCTCTGAATAATAGCATTAGTATCTTCTATCCCAATAGAAGTATAACATGCATTATTAACTCCAATGCTTTTTATTCTAACCTAAAGTTAGCATGGCTTTTCTCTTTCCTAGTGTCCTAGGTAATTTGGACACCCATTTTTGTCATTGTCTGTGTTCCTGGCCCTCTGATATTAAAAAAAAAATGTTTCTTTATGCTCTGTCAAGATGCCAACGTCTGTCTTTTATTAAAATTCAAACCTGCTGGGCATAGCAGTGCATAAGGAAATCCCAGCTGCTTGGGAGATTGAGGCAGGAGGATTACAAGTTTGAGGGTGCTTCAACTTTGAAGGTTTTAGGTGATTTGTGACTACTAACTTCTAGTTTCTGGTTTTAAGTACTTGCTGAAGTGGATAGACCAAGTTTTCAAAATGCTTGCAAAGTTTCAGGTTTCTTTATAGAGGGCCACCTTCCTCTCTTGCTAAAGGACCCGAGGCAGTTCTTCTTGGGCATGTCTCACTAAACCAGATGTGAACAGCCGGTCAAGGACAGTATGAGATCATGGAATAAGAGCTTTATTCCACTGGAACAATGAGGGTTAAATACAACAAGTCAGAATATCCTAAAAAGAAACCTAGGGAATGAAGGCAGCAAGTTCATAAGGCAGAAGGGCCATGAAAAATCTTGAGAAATAGAAATTAAGCAGAAGTCCTGTGTGCACCAAAGTGAATAGTAAGTAGAAACCAAATTACAGAGGTAGTCATTTGTAGCAGTGGGAGAGATGGAAGGAGAGTCAGAAAAGATCTGTGAATTCCTGGGGCTAGGAGGGTGGTGGTGACAAGGTGACTGAGATCCAGAATTATCTTGGGTCCCAAACCAACTTCCAGTTCATAAGCTTCATTTCTGTTCTGGGAGGCTTAGGTTCAGTCTTTCAGGCATTCTCAGATTCCATATATATTTGTGCTGTCCTCATTTTCATTCTTACATTATATAGGTTTTTTTCCCCCTTAAGGTAACATAAAAGAGTTTAAATAACACATGTGCCTTGTTTTCATTCAAGTTGCCGAGAGCTGTGATTAAGACTGAAAATGAGCTAGCTCTCCTTAGCTCAGCTTCTTTGCTTTGCACACCACATAGAAGCTCCAAATTGTTTCACGGAAGTTAGACCTTTACCCCCAACATTGGGAATTAGCCTTATAAAAGTCCAATTGATGCCATGAAAATTGTATCATGGATAAACAATGTTGTAACCTACTCCCCAAACATTTCTTTTGCCAATCCCCATCTACTTACGTTGAGCTTTTTTGTTAACCGACTTGACACAAGCAAGGTAGTAATTGATTCTATTTGATGTCAGACTGGTTATGACTAGGTTCTCTCATGGGCCTTCTCATAATGAGTCACTAATATTTATATACGCAAAGGTAATGTTCAAGAAATTTACATATATTAATTCATTTAATCTTCATATCAGGTCTCTAGAGAAAGTATAATCATCATTCCCTTTTTGCAGCTAAGGATATTAGGCTTAGGTTAATAATTGACCACAGTTGTACATACTTTTAAGTGGGATTTGAAATGTAATTTGTTTTATATGAGAGCCTCAGTTCTTAACTAGCAACCATGTTATCTAATGCCCACCATCCCTGTGACCAAGTCGTTCCTGTCCTTTGGCAATTAAGGTCAACAGCAGCTTACTGTTCTTCTGGAACTCTCTGTGGTCTAGATTCCCCATTAGTGCATGCTGCCTGCTTATAGATCAATTTTTGATTATCACCCCTTTCGAAGCCACAAAACTCCAACCCCTAATGTCTGTTTCCACAAAATAAGTCAGTGGCCTTTGTTGCCTCAATCTCCAGTCGGGTCCACAGTGGACTGAACCCTCAGAACTGTATTTCTAGGGACTGATGCATTTCTTCCATTTCCCCAGTGATTGGTACTGTTCCTTTCCTCCAAACATCAAAGCAGAGAAGGTGCTATGGTGATAGTCACTCAAGGTACTCCCTTGGCTGACAGCCATCTAGTAGCTGTGACTTCCTGCAGGGTCCTCTTCTCTGGCACCTGGCTACTCTGCCCCAGCTCTGTGGCCATCCATGTGACAGGCTCCAGTGGCTGTCATGCTGAATGTCTGCTATGCATCTGGGAACCTCCATTATACAGCTTGCCATTACCTGAGAAATTCTGTTCCTCATGTTATTCTGATCTCTTGCTGGGGATGGGTGGATGCCTCATTCAGGCTTCTATCTTTTCCCGCTAAACTGGGCAGAAGGGAAAGGGCTGACTGAATCCAAAGTATAAAACTCCTTATGCCAATCAACATTTTTCCAGTAGGGTCTTAAGAATTCTCTTTCTCCATAGAAAGACATAGTGTTATAGAACTGGTACCTCCCCATCCTTTCTGAGCAGTGTCTGGGGAGGGAATTAGTCAAATGTTATGATGGCTGACTCTATCAGTTGCCTTCTCAGGATCTGCCCAGTCCTTTTCTCTATTGGGCATGACCGCCCTCTCCTACTATAGAAAATGCCACTTTTCCCTGCCTCCTTTGCAACTAATGCAGAGCCAAGCAACTCAATATTGGCCCATGGGACCCCAGGTGATATCTGTGGAGGGCTTTGGAGAAAGCATTATCTTAGTAGCATTTTTTTTTCTTTCTGTATGTGATTTGTCTGGATATAACCCCTGGAACCATTGCATATTTTTTGACATCATGAAAAGAAGCATCAATGTCACATTGTCAATGCCAGAGCACAAAGAAAAGCACCTGCATCTCTGAGCTCTGCATCAACCTTGGAAATGCCTTGCCTTTCTTGTTATAATGGTAGTAGCCATTTCATTATTACTACGAATAATGGCAGCTAACACTTCTGTGGAGCCTATTGTGAGCCCAACACATTATGTGAAATTATTAATGTCTTTTGAGTTTTTCAAGCCATACCTTTCAGTTGAGTGTTCTGATATTTGCAGCCAAAGACATCCTAAGAGATACCCTCTCCACTCGGGTTCTTGTTCTCTCTGAGTGCTAGATGTCTTAGGGAGACTTCTCAGGAAGCAGGAGTGAGCCTGGGCCCTCCATAATACATGATCCTCCATTCATGAGATGCATCCTCTTCCCCAAGTTTCCTTCAGTGAAATTCCTTTTCCTATACAAGTAGATGTGAACTTACCATGGATTTGATTTTCAGCCTGGTGACTTCTGAGTTACACAGACAACAAGAATTATTCCACATGGAGTTCTGCAAGGACCACTTTCTTACCAAATCTCTGAAAATGAGAAAGAGGAGTGAGGATGGGGGACATATTTCTAAGACCACTCCATCACTCCCATTACTTCAGGGCTCAGACTCCTCTGAAGACCTGTAATTAGTCAATCGCAGAGAATGTTTATCTGCAGTGTTTGCACACAGCAGTCATTTCCTGGCTCACATACTGCAGTTGACAATCCCCTACCCGTGTTATATGTCTTTGAATAATAAAATAAACACTATCGCCAAAGAGATCTACACACTATAAAATATTATGCAGACATAACTTATGACTGTCACGAAGACATATTCATAAACTTCTTTCAATATTACCAGCTCTGGGCCCTAGGAATTATTTATATCCTATTCTGTTTTATTATTTTATTTAAATCTCAACAACCTAGCTTCCCCCCACATCCATAGACTGTATCTGAACTGATCATGTTTTCTTTCATTACTATGAATAATTCTCACATTTTATAATTGTGACTAATATTGGTCAACATGTTGCAAATCATAGCAAGATTTTCACATATATTATTTCATATGAGCCTTGGAACAACCTCCTTTAAAATGAGAATATCGAGGTTCAGATTTGCCAAAAATGACTCTGCTAAAAAGTGGTCAAGGCAGAAAAGGACCAAGGTCTTCCAAAGCCTAGGAAAGTTCTTTCTGTAGTAATGTTCTGACTCCCCTTTAGATGATGCATAGCTTGAAGAGTGAAGAGGGGGCACAAGGGCCAGGTCTTGAAGCAGAGAAGGGAAAGTGTGCAGAAGAACTAGGCAGAGCCTTCAGGGCTAGGATCACAGTGGGGGAGGGATTTGAGGTACTGGTGATAACCTGAGTGAACTCATGGTGGACTTTGGTGGCCCTGGGGAAAATTGCGAACCTCAGTTTCCCCAACTGTAAGGCATAGTTCCCAGTAGTACTCACTTTGTGACCGTATTGAGTACATTAGAATGGTGCTTACCACATGATAAGCATCTTATTACATTTTGCTCTTTTGGTTTGTATTCTGCCTGAACATTAGAGGGGAGGGATGTTTCATTTCCTCTCTCTCTGGAAAAGTTCAGGATAAGATATATATCTGTACAGATCATGGAGCCTGTGCCAAAACACCCCGAGGGATCATCTAACTTTGAGTGCAGGCACCCTGGTACTAAAGTGAATCTTGAGCTTAAATGAAAGCTATAATATTCAGTTCTGTTCACTCTTAAAGAGTTCCTTTAAAGAGCTTAATAAAGAGGATCAGCAGGATTCTTGGGTATTAAACATGTCTTCCAATGCAATATTTTAACGAGGTAAGTATAATATAGTAAGCTCTCGGATTAATCTTCCCTTAAACTACCCGTGAGCTCAAGAGGCACTGAAAAATATCCAGGAATATTGTGGAGACTTTTATTGAGCCCATGTGTCAAATGCAAGAAAACGCTGGGTGCAATATTCCTAACCCCCATCAGGGCTTGCTTTGTTTCTCCTGAGAATCCCGAGGCAAATGTGACTACCACACAGGGAACGTGACAGTACTGTTTCTTTGTCCTTTCCAGGTTATGAAGTAATAGTCCATGCCTGGGTTTCTTTTGAGGGCTATTCAGAGGGCTGGGGGCACTTGTGTCAACTGTTGGGCTCTTAATGCCAGAGGTCAAACATCTTTTCGCTGAAGTGCCCAGTGTATGTTCTCCATTTAATAATGTATTTGGGAGCTCAGAGTTTATTTTTTAAAAAAATGGAACCAAGGCCTGGTGTTGTTTACTTGCATCAGAGTGTGGGCAGCTAGAAGCACATAGACAATTTCTGAGCCTGGGAGCATTTGTCTGGTGTTAGTCATTATGAAGTTACCACCTTTGCTGGTGCTTTATAACTGGGGCCATTTGAGGTTACCTGTCCTGTGCCTCCAGTTCTAATTTTTAGTTCTTTAGTTCATTTGGATCATTTGGAAAATTCCCTTAAAATGACAGTATCTTGTGTTTTGAGTTTTCTTTTTCAAAAAAGGAAAGAAACAGTATGCATGTATCTGCAAAATGAACAAGAAAGGATGAGTAAAAAGAGGGATAAGAAAGGGGGAGAGAAAAGGAAGGAGAGGGATAACACATGAGGGAGTTATGCTCTTCTTTTTTCTCCTCTATTTTGGATACTATGGAATAGGCACAAATTTCCTGGCGAGACTCGAAGAGCAGATGAAGTGGATGACTTCCATGCGGTTTTATTAGGTACATGGACTGTCCTGTTGCCCCCCAGTATCTTCCCCACTTCATGCTGTGGTTTGGCCCTTGGATTTGACATTGCCTTTCTGCAGCAAGCTCTTTTAAAAGCAAACCAGGAGCTGGGATGACCTTTCAGAATGGTGACAATATCCAGAGAGGGAGGGACTCAACAGAGCTCTCAGCCCCAGGGACTCCAAAGGTACTGGAAATGCACCACAACACTCACCCAGGGTTGGCTCTTCTTTTGTGCTGCCATAGATCCTCTACCTTCTCTGAGATATGTGGACACTGGTCCTCACGCCCAGGTCTATGTTCTCACGTATAATGTATAACTCCTCTTTCTTGAGACTTCCTTGTTACAAAGGAGCGTTAACAGAACAATTTGAGCAGCTTTAAGATGCCCATTTTTTGTGTGGTTTCACAAGAGGTATGTCTCAGAGTTGAGAGTTCACAAATACCCTTATTGATAATAAGGATTTATCCATGGAAGGAAAGATAAGGGAAGAGAAGCCAAGAGTTCCCCATGTCTACCATACACCAGGGTCTGTGCTAGACTCCAGCAATAAAAAATTAAGAAGACACAGTAGGAATGTGGACTTAAAACTCAGTCATTGCAATAAAGGTTTATGTGTACTCTAAATGAAGCGTGACTAGGGTCATCGGAGACATCGTAGGAGTATGAATAATTTACTGAGAGGAGCATTCAGGAAGAACTGTTTATGCAATGTAAAGTTTGAAATGACTCCTTGAGAGATAATCCACTAGTAGCCAGAGAGAAGTTGGAAGGAAAGACACTCCTGATGGAAGAAGCAGGGTGGGCAAAGGCCTGGACTTGCTTGGGAAACCCTAATCTTTTGACATCACTGAAATTTAGGTTTGGGGTGATGTCACGCTGAGTGGCAAAGCTTGAGAAGTGGATAAGTCAGGAAGCCTTTGTATCTTGCCAAGCAAAGGGGCAATCTCTGAAAGACTGTGTGTGCATGTGTGTGTGGGGGTGTGTGTGTTTTTAAAGAGAGGAGTGACACGATCAGATATACGTTTTGAGAACTCGCCTTGGCAGAACACTAGGCTGAGGCAGACTGTGAAGTCAGGGGGCAGGCTCTTTTCATCTTCATTTTATTTAAATGCTTTGCCTGCTCAGAGGTTCAAGTTGAGAATGATGATGTTGAAAAATATGCTCACTTTGCTTCATACTTAAACAAGGGTAAATGTGAAGACTCATATTTATTAGACCTATCCAATGTTATAGACTTCATTAAAATCAAAGAAATCAATAAACTTTTGCCAGGTCATTTTAGAAACTCATGCTGGTGGTTTTTGTTTATCAGAAACAATCTAATAAAATTTAGACATTTACAGAATTTCCTTAGAACATATTTGGCAAAGAAAGAAGTATTCTTAGATATATTTAAAATATAGAAAAAAAATACATTCATCTACCTATTTAGTATTCCTCCATCTATCGTCTACCCACCTTTCCTTCCACCCTTCCCTCCCTCCCTTTCTTAATCCATCCATAACTATCTTGGTCCACCCCAGGCACTGTGTAAGAACCAGGGTTGCCAAGATGATAAATTCAGTCTCTATTTGGAGAGTTGACAGTCTAAGTTCAGACAGATGAATCAATTGTTATATAAACAGAAAATGGCAATACTGTGTGATGTTATAAATGGTATTATAAAAATATAATTTCTAATAAAATAAACATGTAATTTGTCTTGGTCAGAATGATGAAAGAAAAAAGGTAAAGAACTTGAAATTAGAATACCAGGTTTAAGTTTCAGAAATATTATTTATTTAGTATCTAGGTATACTTGATCATGTTATTTGAACACATTGGTTTATAAGATAAACACACACACACACACACACACACACATACACACACATACACGAAATAGTGATCCTATCTTATTCCCTAAAAGATTTTTGTATTCAAGTACATAAGACCCAACAGTATTCATATACACATTTTGTGAAAAGCAATCACCATTGGCCTAAGTGGCTTTGCATATTCTTACTGGATATACCAAGAATGAAGGCCTGGACCTGACCATTCTTTACTCTGGTCTTCTCTCAGGTTGTGTTTGCAGCAAACTCCTTTGAGCAATGAGGTAATGTTTCCACTCAGAGGAAAGAGGAAGGCTTGCTTTTGTTCTGTATGCAAATAGAGAATACCCCAAACTCAGTGTTCTCTTATAAATCTGCCTGTTGAAGGAGTGGGCATTCATATTGGGCCTTTTGCTTTATAGCAAAATAGGAAGATGAGGAACTCATGAGCATAACATGCTGATACTTCTACTGCTTTTACTGAGAATAATGAAATTTTTTTCTCTCACCTAACAGCCTCATGTTCTCTTCCAGCATTCATGGAACAATTACAGGTGGGTTTATTAGCTTGGAAATATTGTAAGACTCAGACCCATTTTATTCTTGATAATAACCAAAATACATATTTAATATTCATCTTAGTCCCTTTCCTGGTGGCTGTAACTGAGTACCACAGACTATAATATATAAAGAATAGAGGTTTATTTGGCTCATGGTTCTGGAGGCTGGATAGTCCCCAAATCATGACATCAGCCTCTGCTTGGCATCTGGTGGGGGAGGGGCGCTTTCTTGCTAAATTGTGACATGGTAGAGCACGTCACATGGTGAGACAGAGTAAGCAAGACAGAAAGTGTTTGCTTTTATAACAAAGCCTCTCCTGTGATAACCCATTAATCCAGTAATCCACTAATCTATTCAGCCGTTAATCCCCCATGACCCAGGCACTTCCCAAAGGCCAAATTTATTAACATATGATTTTGGAGATTAAGTTTCCAACACACGAATTCTAGAAGATACACTTAAACCATAGCAATGCCATAACAAAAGAGATCTTTCTATCAGTAGCAACAAAGATATGGCTTTATATCAAGATAATTTATAGAAAAAGCACTTTTAACCAATATGAACAAAATGCAATGTTTTATTGAGATTTAAAAAGGAGATTTGAACAAATAGAAAACAATGTCATATCCTCACTTAGGAAGATTAAATATTTATGGAAAAAAATCAATTCTTCCCAAATATTTTTAAAGGTTAAATGCAAATCCAATCAAAACCCAAATGAGAAGCTTGAAAACAATGTTTTCTAATTCTAAAGTTAATAGGAACATTTTAAGGAGTTTGTCAATGACATTATAGAAAACAGAAGATGGGTAAGTAACATAGGGGTTAACACATGGAGATGGCAGTAAAGCAGAGTGGAAAATTATGTGGCTTTATCATGAGGACAATCCCAGTTGGATTCTTGGCCAAGGTACTTAATGTCTCTGAGTCTCAGCTTTCTTGCGTATGTGATGGGGCTTATAATAGCAACCACTTTGTAAGGTTTTTGTATGGACTGAAGCACTTAGCAACATGCTTGGCACCTAACACTCAATAAATGTTGGCTATTATTAGTTTTAACTGATACTAAAATGCATCACAAAGCTATTTGCTAAAGGACAAAGAATTTAGTTAATTGAGTCAGAATCTATCATCTTTGACTCAGGCATCTACATCTGCCCATATAAAAAAATTCAACTTATAACAAAAGGAAATATCACAAATAACTAGAAAAGAACTATACATATACAAAAAGAAATAAACATTGCAATATGTTTATATATATACACACATATTTATATAGCTTGCTAAACACATATTTACATAGACACACAAACATTTATAATAAAGGAAATATCAGATGAGCAAGAAAGGAAACCCATATATGTATATGTTTATATATAAATAGTACATTTATACACACACATAATAAAGCATCAACTTCAAAAGGCTGAGAGTCAGTGCTATACTCAATGAAAAGACAGTCCTCAATAACAGACAAATAATTCAAAAGAAAAATCCCTTTGAGCACACTAAACCCTATTTAATATGTAATTCTACCCACTAGGAAATACTTTATGCAGAATTTCCACTGAATAGCTCTTCTTTTCCTTTTTTTTTTTTTTTTTTTTTTTTTGCCTAACTGTCAAAAATCAAATACAGGCTCTGGTGCAAAGGTTAATCACATCCCTTTAAGGGGAAACCTCTCTAAAATCTGATTGCAAGTATTATGGGGAAAATTGTAAATATGTACTTCATTCTGAATTAAATTTAAGGTTATTTTAATTATGGAAGCATTAATGACAGCAGGAAACTTAATGAAATAGTGGACCATGAAATCAGTGTTATCATTTTAATACATAACAGAATATGACAAACTCTATAAGATTCCTGTTCTCTTTCATGTCTATTACAATTTTCTTCTATTAGTTTCTACAAATAGAAAATTACATATAAAATTGAGTTTAACCAAATCTCTGTTAAAATCAGACAATCTGATTTGGTATTATATAACCACACTGAAATTTCATTTAATTTAGAAAGGGCTTCTCCTGGTGCCTTGAATACTAACTACTTTCCTAACAACACATATGTAGCTGGGTTTGACAGGGGAATAATCCTTATGCTGAACAATAGATCAAGATTTTAACAGAAAGAATGAAGACGGATAGAAATAGAGAGCTTGACCCAAGCTCACACAGGAGAGATTTCAAAAGCATTTCTTGAAATGGTCTGAAAAAATATTTACTCTTGCTTATCAACTTACAAAAGAATTCCTTTCGATGAAAAAGTTGAAGATTCGAACATCAGGCCTGACTGTCTCTGCGTATGGCAAGCCTGAGTCCCTGGGGTCTCTGCAGGGAGGAAAAAAGCCTCCAAAAAGGCTCTTCTGTGCCTCTGCTGCTCTTGCTGCATTGCTATGGCTGCCTACTGTAAACTGGGCATTGTCTGAGGTCCTTCCTCATCCTTCACACAGAGGAGAGGTGCTTCAAAATGAAATATTTAAACGGGAGTTTAATTTATTTATTTCAGAGAGGTGGATCAAATCTAGAAGTTAGGAGAGATGATATAACCCTTAGTGGAAAAGTCCTGACTTAAAGCAAAGATGAGGTAGGCACTGGGGGTGCTGAGAAAGTTCCTTTAGTTTTCTTTCTTTCTTTTTTTTTTTTTTTTTGCAGTATTGGGGATTATAAGAACATTCTTGATCCAGCTGCTGGTTATGGGGTATGTGAAAATTAACTGAGCCATGTAATTGTAATACATACACTTTTCTGAATGCATATTATACTTGGCAAAATTTTGGATTTTTAAAAAGTATTTGCTGTGACATTCTTGGCTAGAAATATAGTTGCCTGAAATAATACAAAAAATTCAAGTGTACAAATTACTAGGTTAGTATTTTAGTGAAAATTTCTAGGTGTGGCTTTATCTTACACATGATAAAGATGAGATTAGAAGGAAACAATAGAATTCTTATCTCCTTTGACTCTGGCTAGGCCTCTCTGACTTGTCCAATCCTATCTCCTAAGGTCCACTCCATGAAAGGTTCTTTTAAGGGTGCAATCTTAAGGAATCCTAAAATGAGGGCCTAGAATGCCTAAGCTGCTGATCTCATTTTTGTTGCTCTTCAAGTTTGCATCTCTTCACCAACACCTAATTATTGTATGGAATCTCTTGTTTAGTCAAATTGTCTTTCTGAGCATCTAGAAATATAAAACTCACTCCATGGCTGTTAAGGTCTGTAGACAAGTCAAAATAACACGTGGTATTTTGCCAGGGGAATGTAGAGTTCGTAAACAAGTCTGGATGGTGCCTGGCAAAATGCCAGAGGGAGTGGTTTGAGATGTAACAAAAGTGAGCCATTAAGTGTGGAGATTCCTTATTGGTTGACTGATGTATCTAGTTTATGCTAATTAAGATAAGCTGTGCAAAATGTATAAATAGCTCTGTTGTCCTACAATAAACGGCTTCCATTCCTGCTGCATCAACGTACACAAGTTATTCGTCACCCCCCGGTTATTCTGCTGCAGCCGGACTGCGGCACATGGCTTCAGAGTTTCCATGTCCAACTGACTCTTTTCTTGCCTTTAGCTAAGTCTACTCAGAGTCCTCAGTCAGGCCGTTCTATCCCCCAACTCTTGGATTCCTTTAGAGATTGTTTCAAAGGCAGACCAGGAAGCAACGCAGAGCAATAAAAGTAGTGCAAAACACAGAATCAGAATTGGAATCCACTGGCTTCAACCCAGGCTTTACTTTCTGATAGTTAAATGAACTTGGGCAACGTCTTTGGGAAAGAGGTAAGACATCAGCCCTCATGGATTTGTCACAAGGATTGAATAGAGTAATTAATGTATGAAAGGTACTTTTAATGCCACACACAGCAGTGCCAGGGTTACTATGGTAATGTAGGTTCTTTATTTTAGGCCATGAGTTTGTGCTTGGGAGCAAGGAGTTACTATTGCTTTGGAAGTATTTTTAGTTCTTCTCCCAGAGAGCAGTATTCACCATTATATCCAAAGCATAGGAGTGCAGAACTGTGTTTGTTTGTTCCACTTCTGGCCACTTCATTAGGCATCTTTCAAAGGCAGCATGACTTAGCTAGGCATAAAAAGCAGATGCCAAGTGGCAGTGCCAATCTTATGAGGTGGGACAGTCTCTCCTCGTCTTCCAGACAACTGTCTGAAAGACATTTATATTTGTTCTCAATTTGCTGTGCCTGGAGTTTCCCAGATAACCAAGCAAAGTTGGATTGTGACCACAGCATCTAGGTCATTCAGGCATCTTGGAGTAAGGCTGTACAAAAAATATTAAATGAGTTTAAAATTTTAAAAGCTCCAAAGATAATGATTGATGGGTCAATGGGGCTCTATAAAAGCTGGGTCAGGGTACAATAGTTGACTTCTTTGGGATGCTCTGATAGATTGAGACCTTTCATTTAGAGGTAGACTATGTCATGGATCAAGGAGACTTTTCCTTGGGGAAAACGACTCTATAACCTTGACTGTCTCTGTGGAATCTTAAGGACCCCATCTCTATGTAATTTAAACAATGTTAAAAAAAAATTCCAATTCAACCCTGCAGGAATTCTGAAACATGCCTCAAAGGCTTTGTAAGGTTACATAGCCCAGAGGGAGTTAGAACTAAATTGAATTCTTTAGCGTTACAATTTCTTTACCCAGCTGGAGCTTACACATTACATTATTTAATGCACTTTGGAGTAGTGGCCTCTTTCCTGTTCTTAAGTCTCAGATAAGCCATAACTAATACTTAAAGAATTACAAATTCAGAGAATAGACAGCTTAAAATAAACATAAAGATGCTTGCAATTCTCATGGAAAATAACTCCCTACTCCAAGGAATACAGACCATAAATATGCCTATAGACGAGAGTTCTAAATCTTTTTCAGGGGAAGCCCGGTGGTTAAGTGAGTTAATTATATCCTTGTCCTATGAGCCGGATGGAAGGTCATGTAACGCCTTCAAATGCTTGTTGCAGCTCTATGTATTATAA